GGTCAGAATGGAAAAGTTTTGGAACTCAAATGAGCATTTAATAATAATTAAAGTAGATCTTTAGCTTAAATATAATTAGGGGCCGTTCATTTATTACGTTACGCAAAAAAATTACTTTTTTCACCCCCCCCCCCCTCCCCCCTTGCTACAATATGTTACAACTCACAACCCCCCCCCCCCCCCCCTGAACGTTCATAATTTATTTTATTTTGAAAAAAATGTTTTTGGTGTGAATTTTTTTGAAAGACAGACGACAGTTAGAACGTTACATACTTCTACCACCCCCCACCCCCTATGTTACATTTTGTTACAATTTTTCAAACCCCCCTAAAATGCGAACGTAATAAGTGAACGGCCCCTTAATAGAATTATTAACTTGATTGATATAACTGAAGAGAAATGGGTTCGAATCCCTAATGTTGATCTAAATTTCTATGACTGAAATAGCTTCATTTTTACTCTTCAAACCTAGTTTTAACCACTTAATGATCTATTACATTATTTATTCAACCATCTCTTCCTGTAGACAATCTATGACTAGCATGAGAAAACTAAGTTGCCATTTAATACTAAACACTGTACCTGACGATAGATGACCAATGTAATGTGTCATATTTAAGCTCAAAAAAGTGTTAAATGAAAAGTTCTCGAATGATAAACGATTTTCATGACCGATCATCCATACAGAAACATTTTTTTCTTGACTTTGTCTGATGAGCAAAAATAAAATAAAATAAAAAAAATGTATAATGTTATGAAATGATCTCATGGCGATGAGCAAACACACACCACATATATTGATACGTATCGGGAATATCTAAGTAGATTCTTGCCAAAAAAAATATCATCATCATAAATTTCTTGCTGGTTGCTTTTGTCAACTCTTTATTTTTTTACTGTCTTTTGTATTTTTGCCTCAGGCAGGAAGAAATATATATGAAAAGTGATGAGAATATATAATTTGTTGACTTCTCAACTGCTGATGAACGCGTTTTTATCATCAATATTATCATCATCATCATCATTCGTTGACTATTGAATGAATGAAACAAAATTTTATATAGATTGAGGACTCAGATGACAAGCAAATTTAAATGTCTCTCGAATCTTTTTTTGATGATCTTCCAGCGTATGAGCTGTAGCTTTAACCAAAAATTCACACAAGCGAAGACGATGAAAAATTCTTTTTTTCAAATTTTCACATGAATGAATAAAAAAATTCTGTTAAAGATTTATCGCAGTTTTTAGTTCTGTGCTCTCTAAATCATGATTTATTGATTCACATGACATTGTCAATATCCACCAGATTGATTCAGGGTTAATACTAACTAGAAGAATTTTTTTGCGTTTGATCATCAAACATGAATTTCAAGGCTGATTTTCTGTTTTTAATTTAAATTTCTTTGAATTATAATTTTATTATTAGACGCGACTAGAAAGACGTTTAAGCCAAAATCCGCAATTCCAATTAAAAACTATTGCAACTCTTAACTGGCTGAATTGAATGATTCAAAAAATGCGTAGTACTCAACTTTTGAGTGGGGGTTGTTGGCAAATGATGTTTATCAAGAAGTTTTGTCTTTATAGTGGGATTTGAACCACTTCTTTTAATGACATTTCTGTCTGAAGGCTGTCTATGGGTGTGTTCTTAGTACTTATGATTCAAGACATCATAAAATCGTTATTAGAATCTAATACTCTGTTGAAAAGCAAACGTAATTTATAATCAGTCCCTAGAAAAAAAATCAATCGAAAACGATTAGTAATGACTAATCAATCAAACATTGCTATGTGCCGTATATATCAATTACAATTCTTCTTCTTCATTATTATTCGATACAAGTCTAATCTCTGACTATTGATTCTCTATAATAGTACAACCTGAAGGCAATATTTAATAACTTTGTTGCTAGTGACAAAGAACGAGTGATTAATTCTCACGATTTCACTCATATATCTCTTAATTTGCATATATGTTGACATATAAATGATGTCAGTAGTTTAAGATCTTTAAAGCGTAGATTTGTGGATGATGTGAGACATTTAGTTTGTTGTGACTTGATGCTTAGCTTTGAACAACAAAATTCTTCAAAAATCAATTTTTAATCCCTAAATCTGACCTTTAAAAATGCGCCTTAGACATCCATCAAGCAATCCTATACAGCATTCGATCATACTTCTTTCTTGATTTTTTGACAATTCAATTGACTAGATGAATGTACAATATAACTCATGACAGTGATGCCCTACCTTAAAAATTATATATGGATTCATAATAAAAATTTATTCAGTCGTTCTTACGTCTGTTTAAAGTAACTTTTTGCTCCAGTTTTGCGTGAAATTAAATTCATTTCCACCAAAATGAGCACACAGGCATTGTCTACAAGCGTACTTGCGTATTCATGAAAAATTCTCAGCAATTTAGACAAGATATAATATATTTTTTGCGGTCTACATGACATTACTTACACACAATGTCATAGAGTCAGTCAGAATTTTTTGCTCGATCGAGGAAAGAAGGAAACACACTCGAGTCTACAATAAGAAGTCGATCTGCTCTAGTCGTTCTCAAAATTAAATTAAATGTCGATTAAATCCAATGTCATGCATTAAATAGAATTTATTGTTATAGCCATTTTGTTAGATTAAGAGGCTTAATGCCGTTTTTATTCATGTATACATGACTTGTTTACTGTTTCATTTCAATTTTAGATTTTTTTTTGTATAATAATTCATATTTTTCTCGATCATGTCTCTCCTCATTGACGGATATTGATCAGTAAAATTGATATGGAAAGTTTTGAGGGTGGGAAGGTGACTAAAGATGAGTTTTGAATGCTCTTGTTCAAACTAAGTATTAAGTCACTTCTTAAACAATAGCGAAAAACCCAAGTCACACAACAGCACCTCCTGGATATCCAAGCAAACATGACGCATCAAGTTCCTATGCTACCTGTCTGAACAGATTATACAAGCATTATTTTTTTGGGTAACAATTTTTCGATAAAAATCTGAAGGTGAAATGTAGTGAATTGTACGTATGTACTGGTATGTACTTAGAAAGCTTTTAGAAATCAATATATCTTGCCTGCGAGATAGAAAAACAAACAAAATACAAAATTATACAGAAAATGACACAACTCAATGTTACTATTTATTTCATCTGAAAATTTTCCACTACCATTTTGCCATTTTGCAATAAATAAAGGCACATGAGGCCACAATATTAAGCGCACAAGCAAGTCGAATCTTTTTAAGACCTTAAATAAACATTAAAATTCTTTTTTAAGAACATTTTTATTATTGGTGATCAACGTCCTTTTGCGAATTTTCATAATCAATGAAGCTTTATGAATGGCTGAAAAGCAATAATCTGGTCCATTCAAAATGACGGCTTATCATGAGAATGAATTTGCAAAAAAGTAATTCCAGGTCATAATATCAAAGCACTAACCTTCTTCAAAAGAATTTTTTTTCATTCATCGGCTTTTTGGAGATTCATTTATTCATTTGTTGAGCCAATGAACAGTCCACAATGAATATAAAAATTTTGATTTTATTATTAACAAAAATTGCACTTCAAAAGAATAAGTTATAATCACCGCTGTACCGAATATGAGCACTTCCAGAAAATAAAATAAAAAAAGTCGCAAATTCAAAAGAAGAAAAAGAAATAAAAATTGTAAAAATTGACCGATAAACATACAATATATTTGATGATATATGCGGTTGTGTTTGTGAGGCGCCGGCCAGATAAGGATGAAGAAATTGCCAGATGCTTACTTATACGATAGCGTGAATTGATTTTTCTGTCAATATTAACATTTTGCGTGACTCTTCATACATTCTCAGTGTAATTTTTAGTACACATATATTTATTTAAGCATCTTACCGGATGAAAAGTAATTAATACTTCATAATATATTTTTTTTCTCTCTACATGGTGCATATAAACGCTTAACAGTGCGTGCGGTTAATATTCTCACATATAATAAGAATTTGTTACACAATTAAGCACATTCCGAAGATTTCTCAGTAAATTCTTTCTTATGAAGTCATAAATGCTCTGTTCTTTGGCATCCTCATCATTTTTTTTCATATGATGCCGACTCATTGATTATATGATATGTAATGTAAACATCATACATTGTCATTCGGATGTATCTTACTCATTATTTACAGCCCATGTAGCTCATTCATTTAAATCCCGGGAAATTATCTCATCTTGTCGGTTTTTAAGTATGAAAAACTCTTTTTTTTTAATATCTTCTTCTTCCTCTCCTGTACCGTACGTACGGGTGATAATGATGAGAGATGTCGAAGTAAAAAAAATATCGCGTCGGTACATTCATACGTGGGAAAATAACATTGGCACTCATCAGCTGACATCATTCTTGAAAAATTTCACAAGATATTCTCAGGACAAGTTCAGGGAATGTTTTGCATACTTTTCATGACTATACTTGAATTTTTGGGGGTCAATTTTAATGGTATCTATCGAAACTTGTATTTTTGTAGCTATTGCAACTTTCATGAATATGCTATGGACTGTTAGATATTCAACTTAAGCTATTTAAGTCCACAGTAATGCTGTTTGGATGAGTTTATTCAAATTCATTTATACATAGCTATGCGAATATGAGCGAGGTCATTTCTATATTCAAAATAGACGACGATGGAAGAGCGCCACCCGCAAATTTACTCAAATGATTAATGAAATTAAATTTCAATGTTCCATGAAGACGATCGGCGCAGGAATATGAAAAAAATAGCAAAAATTTTCTTTTTCTTTCTCTTCCACTCACTGCCATTCCGATATCTCGGTGCTGAAAATGTGTCGATTGACCATGAGACAATTAATTATATCTTCACTACTGAGCGCTTAACTTAAAGAACATTAAAGCATGCTTTTTTTTACGACAAATGTTGTTTGCATATGTTTTCAATTAATTAAATTAATGTTATTTATTTCTTCTTTCTATTTTTTTCTTCTCTTATAGAGTGTCACTTTGGAAAAGAACTGAAAGAGCTTGGATCGACGTGGTTTCCTGATTTAGGAGCTCCATTTGGAAAGATGTATTGCATTAAATGTCAATGTTTGCCAGTAAGTACTAATTTAATTTATTTTCACTGGGAAATTAGCACAATGGAAGTTGCAATATTCACTGGAATTACAGTGCAATGCGATTTTATGTTGATTCGTGGATTGTTCCACATCAATTCCTGTTGAATTAGCAAAATTGATGATATACATAAATTAAAATTTGAAGTAAGATACCAAATTATTGCATTTAAAATACATTGAAAATATAGAAGCTAAGGGAAGATTTCAGAACATCCCGAACCTACAACCCTGTCTAGCAACAACAATTCTTAAGTTAATTAAATATTAATCTGGGGCATCTCAAAGAAAAAAAAGTTCATCGCAGATGAAATTAAATTCATTCACTATTTGCTCTTATATGTGTATATAGAAACGAGGGGGATTATACAGCAAAGACACAGCAAAGAAATAAGGTTTTAATTTTTTAATCTCAATTTATCTCTCAGTTTCCAGCAATTCACAATTTTTCATGCTAATTTTTCACTGTCTCATGCATATATGTTCATATATGAACATTACCCATTGACTTTATTCTAGAGAATGAAAAAAAATATATATATCTGGCAAACTAAAAAATGATTTCCTGTTTCATATGCTTCACTCCCTCAGCTCCGATTAAACGATCTTTTTATACAGATTTTATTTATTTAAATTTTTTTTTCTTCTCATTTTCTTTTTTTTTTTTTGTACAATTTCTTGATGCATTTCTCAAATGAAAATATCGTGATGTAGAGGTGGTATTTTCAGACTTTAACATACAATATACAATTGTTAAAGCCATCGATAATCAAAACTAATGATTGCAATGGAATAAAGAGAAATAGTGTCAAATGCAAACTGTCTAGAATGTGTGTCAATATAATTTACTCTCCATGTACCTCGTGGTAGATGAAAATGAATAATATACAGCATTTTATTGCAGTCAAACGCGACAGACAACGAATTAACTTTTTCGCACAAATCCTTCAATCTGCATATCATTTAATCGATTTAAATAATAATAGCAATAAGTGGATATAAAATTGCAATTGCACATATTACTTTTTTTTCGCATAATATTCTCACATTCAAGATCAACAATTGGCACCATGGACATTATTTGTCTTTGACGCGCGTACGAAAAGGAGTTTTTCTTGCTTTGCTATTTGATTTATGTGTTATAAGTGCTTGTAATGCAAGGAGAAGTCGCTATTGTCAATTACTTTTATTATTTAAAGCGCATTTTAGATTTTTTTTATTAGATTTAATGATAATTAATGAGAATTCTAATCGCAAATCGAAGCTAGTCCTTGTTTATGAAGTTTGATGAAATCAAGCATGTGTTAGAGTAGTTTGAGGGTCAGATTAAGCTTCATCCTTTTAGTTTCTTAAGCTTTTAGTACAAATCGACTTCTATGCCTCAATGATACTTGAGATTCTTAAGAATCAGCTCAAAGGATCATTCTAAGAACAATTTACTTTCCTGATTGCTTTAAACCATTTCATATTCATTTCCATTGTACATTGTAATGATCGAGAGTGAAATAAATTGCAGGCGCATATATTCATACTGCATACAATTCATTCGTTAAGCAATGAGGCGTCAAGTATCTGTTATTACCATAATTATAGAGTACATGGTAGAGCATCGAGTCTGATATCTATCATCATTTCATTATTTGCCCTACAGTTGTTGTTGTCACATACTCATCTCTTTATTATTTTTAATAAATGCTTAAAAAATTCCATCAAGCATTAATGTATCATCTCATGACATGATTAGATCATCTTGTTATATTTTATAGTCATTTCTTCTTTTGCCGCTTCCTCAACTGAGGTTTATTTTAACTGCTACATTGTTTTGTGCTAATTAATTTTTACTCAATTTTTTTCATGCTCATTCATTAATTAATGCACAGAGTTAAATGACCCTTAAAAAGACAATGATCATAATGCAAAGATACAAGCAAAAACGAAGGCATTTTGCGTCAAAACTTATCACTAATTAACACCAATTTATAACCTTAAATGGAATTTGTTACACAGCTTGTTACTAGTTCACATCTCATCTACATAATATGATAATTGAAGCACCACAGATTAATACACATACGTGAATAATAAAATAGCCACAAAATAAAGAAGAAGAGATGAGCAGAGGGAAAAAAATGAATGAGTCTGGAGTTATTGGATGGAAATCGGTTGTGATAGCGCGTCTAATTTGGTTAAAATATGGGTACAAAATACACTGAATATTTTAATATTATCTGTTCTTTAGGAATCGAACTATTGATCGTATTGTGTATTGAAACATTTTATAAAAATACTTCAAGTTCAAATTGCAAACCTTACTGTTTAAATAGGGCTTATGCAATTAAATCTACTCTTACCAAATAAGATAGTGTCGGACAAGGGTAAGGTAGAAACATGCTTCGATCTTAAAAAATCATTCACAAAATTTATATTCCTGTTGAAGCTCATTAAACTATGAAATCCGATAGTGTAGAAAAGTCCGCTAGTAAAAGACAAGCGATAAAATGCGAGAGTGAATGGGAAAGACATTAAAAGGCAGTGCAAAAAAGTTTTTTTACAATTACTCCCCGCGACGTCTTATACAACTTCTCTCTCCGACGTTCTATATATAAAAAGAAGAGTCGATATTATTTATAATACAAGAATTAAATGGATATGATAATAAAAATATTTACACGTCTTAAGAATGTTTTTCTCTCACTTCTCATCATACTGTTAAATCACACTGACTCTTTTACATTTTTTTTTTAATTCCCTTTCCTTCTTTCCCCTGGCGTGTGTATGATTTCAGTGTGCGAATGAAGTGGCGCCAAATGGTTATATTTATACATATACGGTGTATATTTTGTGGCTCTTTTTTTATTAATCATGCAAACCATGGCAAGATAAATGAATGTATACATACATATCAGTATAAAAAGAGACGCGCCAGGTAGCTAAATGACTGCTTTGACTCGATCAATGTGCGCATAAAATCACAACATTTTATTATCAAAAAAAAAAAATATAATTTTTCCTTTCAAACATGACAATAAAGGAGGATAAATTATGGGGTGAATGCGAAAAGGCTGTAAATAATGGTTTTATGTCCAGAAGAGTTCAAAAGGTTTTGAGAATTCTGAGGAAATTTAATTGGAATTTTTGATTCAAAATCTAGTATCAGGAGACCATCAAAAAACCTAGATTAACTCAATTATGATCACTAGACTCTACAAGGAATTAACTAATTTGGCCTTCCCAACACACGACAACAACATCAGGATAAAGATCTTTGAATTCATGAATTAACCATTCATTTCTTGATTTACAAATTATTAATGAAACAGATCGCAGCAAAACTTTATAATTTACCGTTAAGATCTGTCGAGACAGCTTTAAAACTACTTGATTATTGCCATACTAAAATGACTTTTTATGAATGAACCAAACAAGATCATGAAAAATAATCTCTTTTTTATGAACGTATTCTAATATTTCTAATCTCCTCTGATAGTTTTTTTTTGCTTTAGTCATCATCATCAGCCTCATGTGGCAGTGATCACATACAACACTTTCAGGGATTTAGTTTATTTATATTTGAGAAAAAAAAAAGCTCAAGCAATTAAATACAATCGCTCTCGCAATGAGTCAAATTTAAATATTTACATCAATTAGAAGCAAGAATGCAAAATATTTATTTCATCTAGAAGCGAAATGAAGATCTTCTTTTATTGATAAAGCATCATCATCCGATGACTTCATAAATGTTAATTTTAATTTAATTCTTGGCCTTTTTCTCTTTTATTTTATATCTTGTCGTCGTCGTCGCTTTTTTTACGTATGAAATTTGAGAGAAATTTTAATTCTGTCGTTTTGGCTTTCTGCTGAAAAATTATACATGTGATGATCATTTGAGGCGCCTAATTTCACTTAAGTTAGAAGATATTATAATGATTATTACTATTATTATTATTATGCATAACAGGAGAGCTGAATAAATTTTTAACGCGTTTTTATTTGAGCGAGTGACATTTTTGGGATACTTTTGTGGCATGACAATCCTAGGATTTTCACTTTTATTGAGTTTAATAAAAATTTACTTTTATAATTCTTACCAAACATCACAAGATTCCGAAGATGTTGATTGATTTATTGGCGATTATGAAGATTTTCGGCAGTCCAACAAAAGTCTTTAGATGAATATGTCTGAATATTTGTAGATTTGCGAAAAACTTTTTTATGTCACTCGAGTTTTTATTTTGAGGAATTGTTGGATCTTATTGTAATCCCATGATATAATTCATTAGCAGGTGAAGAAGCTTTAGAATGATGGATTTATAACGCCAATGTCTCCTTTTTGGGCACTACGTCAATGAAATTCGAATTCTTTTGATCCTGATTTTTATTGTAGCTTGTGCTATATAATGGCTATGTTAGGTGATTACTGGACGCCTAAAGATTTCTAAAACGAAAAACTAGACTTTCTAGGAATTAAAACAAAGCTAAATTTCTCAAATCTCTTTGCAATTGCTTATTCCTGATTAAACACTTTATACTCTTTTAGAAAAGAAAAACCTTGACCATTCTGAGCATTCACGATCACCGCAAAAATTATACAGACCCACAGTTCCGCCATTTAAATCTCATGCCACTAAAACTTATCATTTGACATCAAAAACTACCGAAAAAAAATCATTAAGGTTTATCAATAATATAAATAATCAAAATGGTAGAAAAATGTTTACGAGTTTAAATTCATTAAAATTCATTAAAATTTTGACTCAAGGAAGAAGTCAGTGGTTAAACACTGGGGCGGAGTTAAGAACAAGAATCCATTTAAAATTAAGACGGTTCCTAAGAAATCATTTTTAAAATTTCCATGAATGAATTAAGATTTTTTTTGTGTCTGTGATCTGCTAGACATTCAATCATATCTGTGATGTATTTTGGCGACACTTACAAGCGGCTCAGCGACAATCTCACTTTTTCATAATTCGCAAACGACGACAAAAAAAAAGTCAAAAATAAGAAACTAATAATTATGTGAGGAATAAAAAATCATCGGCAAAAATGGTCAGAAGCAAGAAAGAAGATTGAGGATTATGAATTGTTGAATTTTTCAACGCGATCGTAAATTTAAATTTTAAAATAAACAGAGAGTCCACAAAAGAAATACATAATGGAAGTCTAACAAAATAGAATTTATTAAAGATTTTTTTTATCATTCCCACTCACTCACTAAACGCTTTATTCGGTGCGATAAATTATTCACAAGTTTTTTTTTTTATCATATCTCACGCTTTATTTTTATTTTAGTAGTGGCGCTAAGAAGTTATTTGATTATTTAAAGAAGTCAAAAAAATGATCGTCATATGAGAGAACTGTCTTAAATACCATATTAAACTTGTTTTTTCGGTTGATGGGAAAATGTCGAGTTAATAAGGCTTATTTTGTCTGTTATGTCGTTAAGCTGAATATTATGACTTGCAAATTCTCTTACGAATATTTAAAAAACCTAGTCCTAGATCTAGAAATCGAAACTCATTTCTGATCAATTAATCTGTAGACTACAACTCCATTCCTGCATCTCAATGTCTAAGGACCCTTCTTAAAAAAATAACAAACCTCCAAAAACAATCAAAATTCACACCAAAATAACTTCCAAACTCGTCAGCATTTTTCGGATGATAATCCAAAGCGAATTTGACAATTAAATAACCAAATATTTGCAGTAAGCAATGAAGTAGAGTAATGCATAAAGCAAGATCCATTATGTGACAATGTAATTTAATGGCAAATATTAAAAAACTTAATATTTAATTTTCACTTTGAGGCGTTTTTGAATCAACAGCAATGTATATTGACTGTCTTAGTGACTGCTAAGTTTGCAGATCACGAAATTATTTTTTTTTTGTTGTCAGTTATGTGAGATGTTTCCATTGTGACTGACTCCCAGTGAAATATAATAATGCTGATAATATGCATGGAATGTGCCATATTGACTCTTTTGTTTGTTTTTTTTTCTTTATTTTTAGGTACAAAAGAAGCGCAGAATTGTAGCTCGCGTACAATGTAGAAACATTAAAAATGAATGTCCTAAGCCGACGTGCGATGAGCCAATTTTGTTACCGGGTCGGTGCTGTAAAACGTGTCCAGGAGATTCAAGCAGTAAGTACAAGAAGAATTTTTTATCTCATTTTTAACAAGACACCAAAAAAGCCTTTCTTTCGGTCGGTTCCTTTTGAATTCATTGAAAAAAATTATTTTCGGGGAACGTAAACAAATCATTCTTGATGTGACTCTTATTTCACCGCAAAATGTTGTAATTTGATACGTTTTTCTGTTATAAAAGATACAGAACGTCCGACACAGTCAACATGTACAGTATTACACAAAAATATACAAGAAAGAATGACAAGATTTCTTGCTACATTTATCCATATACGATCACATTTTACAGTAAGCACAATAATATATTCAAAATGAATTCTTATTCAATTCGATCTTTATTTTATTATACACAACTTCAGTTCTCACTTCCATGTATTTTTTTATTATTTTTTATTTTCATTTCTTGCTGTGCGTGAGCTTGTTATCTCACATTTGCAAATTGATTAGACGTCCATTAACACTCTGGAATAAAATAAACAAATGTCTCATGATTTCTCAGTTTGGATTCTTCTTATAATCATCATAAATCATCTTGATACTTGATACTGTTAATGGACACCAAAATATGTGTATTAGATTAGAGTGATGATGAAATTTTTGAGTTATAGACTTTAAATAAAATAGAACTTTGGTGTTTAGCATTTCTGGTTTGTTCCTTGTTTACGAGATATAATTGATTAGTTGTTAATCCCATCCTTCTCCCCTCTATGATCCATATATTAAATAAATTAAAGTTTCGAATGAAAGAAACTTTTAAAATAAGCTTTGACATTAGATTTGATTCCTAAGAATTTATTAACATGTTCATAGAAGTTCTTCAACCCTTTCAACATCAAAATCGTTACTTTAATAAAGACGAGTCATCAAAAAATTCAACAAAAACATAAAATCGCATGCCAACCTCATCAAAAGAGATTTTCTTTAATATCCATTAGCAAAGACAGAAAACTTGCTAAATCGACTCATCGCAAAAATTGTTTATAGCAGTTAAAAAATAATTTAGGTCATGCCATAATTCTTGTCTAAAATTGTAATAGAATTTGTTTAATTTGCAATTATTATGCCGTCGCCAGTTGGCTAATTTTCATTTACAGTCTATGTACAATATTTTTCTATTTTTCTATTCGTGCTCGCACAATTTTTTTTTTGTTCTCCTCACAACTAGCTTGTTTCGTTTTTCTTTCGCACTGATTATTTGTTTAATAAAATAGCGACAGTGAGGAGACGTGAAATTAACTTAGATTAAATGGCTTTTTATTCGAAAATAACAATATATGTAAGACGCATGTAATTTAGTGTCGTTTTATATGCGACAATAAATGTCAATGAACTGCCAAACCAATTCAATTTAATTCTGTCTGATTTTATTTTTTTGAAGTGAGAATAATAAAAAAAAACTATATGGATGGGAATTTAAAGTCGTTTGAAATAACAAATAAATTTTGTTTTGCGATAAACTTCAATTGCCTGCCTCAAAAGATATATCCACGTGTTATATTTACACATCAACTATGTGTATATACATGCTGCCATTTAATGATAACATGCGTTTTTTTTTCTCTTTTTTTTTACAATTTTATTTACACTTTTTGTCACACACAATAATGATAAAGGAATGTGGATGTATGTTAAGCTATGTACATAGTCATTTCTGTTCTTCATTACCTATTTACTCTTCATTCATCGTCATAATTATTAAATAATAACATACAGAGCAAATGAATGTGAAGCAACAGAAAGAACACAGGCTGTGTCAATTGAAAACTCTACTATTATTATTATTATCATTGTCATCATACGTTTAATCAGTAGTGACACTTTTTTCTCTACTTCTCATTTTTTTCTACGTATTTTTCATTTACATTTACTTCTCTTGTTGTCTTTTGCGACCGATTTTCCTAGGAATAAGCAATCTTAAGTGACAGCATTGATGGGAACTTTGAAGGGATTTTGTAAAGATTTTTCAGTTTTGGTCATTGATAGAAAAGAATAGATTGGGTAGTGGCAAAGTGGAATTTAGAAAGCTAGATTGTAAAGCGAAGTAGCTAGGCAATGAAGAATCTGGGGAATCGAGCCACATATAGGCAAATCTTCAAGTAGAAGAGTGGCTAGCTATCGAATTTCAAATTTACATTAATCTCGTAGATTTATCATTTATATCCTCTGTTGAAGCATTGTAATAACAGCTCGTTGCAATTCTCGTGAACTAACATTAAATCCAGTAAATGTCAAACTCCACGTTTGAATTAAATCTTCAATCGGATTTCCACATTAATTCATAATTCAGTAATCAATAGAAAATCCCTTACTCATCAATTAATAACAATTTAATTAAAAAAATTGCAATTGCAATGACTTTATTTATTCACAACTTCAATTTAACAAGACACAGCGTGTTACAGCGTATGAAAATAATATATATTTTCAAATTGAATCGTGTTGTCCTTGTTTCAGAATTCATAACAACTTTATAAACTTACTTTATCTTTGCCAGCATATTTTCTATTTTTTCACTATAACTATTTAAATTTAGCAAATGGAGGCAAAGCATTTTAGCTATTTTACTTATTTGTCCATGAAATTGATTTGTAGATTTTTTTTTTTCTATTCATTCAGTACGATTCAATGAATGACATCGCTTTAATGGAAGAAGGAATGAACATATTTTGTTGCTAATTTATTGACAAATGACGTTATTGCTGTGATAACGAGTTTTTAAGGAAAGACAAAAGTTTTAAATTCACTTATTGGTATCTAGTTTTTTTTTGTGTCTAGTGTCACAAATGATATAATTACTGTCAACTTAGCTTTTTACAGTTGTCATGCTTGTAGGGTAACTTAACTAGTTTAATTGATTTTTTTCGTCCAAAAAAGGGTTTTTCTAAGCAAGTGAAGGAATCTGAAAAATTTTCCACAATAATTTAATCAGCATCTAAGGGAAGAACAAGAAGAATTTTGGCGACAGCTAAAAGATTTGTCAGTGCAAAGATCTTTAATTGGAGCAAACGATTAACTAACAAATTTACGATCCTTGCCATTCGTCGGTATGCCATAATATGACAGCCGTTAGGAATAAACGAGAAAAATAAGAACTTTTTATATATGTGTTATTTTAAAGTATTTTTAAAGCACCGAAACATACATTTTGATCTCCCACTGGAATTTTAAAAGGCATTTAAAATTAAATTAAAATAAAAAGTCCGAGGAAGAAAATGAAGGAGGTTCATTTAAATTTTTTTTGGCGCGCTCTATCTCGATATTATTCATTATTATTATTATCATATATTTTTTTTTGTTGTTAAAAATAACGCAAAATAACTTTCTTGCCTTCCCTATAAATAGCAAATCCATAAATTCTATTCTAGTTGACTTTCGTATCTCCTCTTTTTCTCAACGATATATGAATGTTATATTAAAAGCAACAGTTATTAATAAAATTATTTATGAGCATGAACTAGATCTTAGTCAGATAAGGCACCACATTTCATTCAAAATTAATTCTGTATGAGTTCTGATCAATTGTTTTAAATCGAAACTATGAGAAGATTTTATGTGCTCGAGACTGGAGAGATAAATTGAGTAATTTGAGGTCTAAGTTGGTGCCAAGAAGCGCATTTTTCTTTATTATTTGAATTTTTTGAATTTTTCTAACCCTTACTCATGCTCTCATACTAGATTGCAATGCTTTGAACACCTCATTGCTGAGTAAAGAAGTCAATATGAATGGACAGTCTAACAAACCCAAACCCAAAGCATCTCTAAAAGCCCCCAACATTAAAAAAATCTTGCTTAAAAAATTCATATTTCTTATCTCTAACAACAATCTACAAAAAACTTGACTTAAGTAATTGTTATTTAATAACTTACAATCATTAATAATTTTCTATTTATAATTAATTTGTTGAAATACGCAATTTAATTGATTGAATGGGAATCAAATTCTTCCAATTTTGATTGAATTTATTCGAGTGTGTATTTGATCACGAAATTAGCTTCTTTCTCTTCTCAAACATTGTCATATGATATAAAAGAACGAGAAAAAAAATTACGTCAATCAATACGACTGTGAGATTGGAAAAAAAAGGTCTTAAAAAATAATAATAATACAATTTTTATATCGAGATTGTTGTGAGGCGGCGTGAGAGATTTACATTTCATGATAAATTGATTTCAACTGATTTCTAATGCCGGAATCAATCAAGCGTTACTTATGGGCTGTCCAGAACTATTAAAGTATATTTTTTTAATATATTTCTTTAACTCAACACACACGCGTGGTTCGCGTTGTCTAGTGAGAATTTAGGTTCGAATGAGTAATCTACATATATCTTTTTCCTTATGTTGGACATTGCGGAACTATGCTATGCCATTTAATTGACATCATATTAAATAATAAAAGACATATGTATAGAAGCAGTTAGCTCGACTCAATGCTGAACACCAAACATTTCAAGATTCGAGAAATAAAATGCGTTTAATTTTTTTTTAAAAAAATATTCAATCCTCTATAGCCATAAAAGGTGCTAAATGTAAACAATTAAAAGTCAATCGAACAAGCACATTTAATCGTCAATGAGTCAATATTTGTCGTGTCTCTCTTTACTTCTTCATTCAAAAATTTACTTTTTCATGACGACTTGAGCGATCGATCATCCTCAGTCGAGAAATAATAATAAGTTAATAAGTGAAATTGAAAATCTGTCATAAAAAAAGTTTTATAGTTTTTATGGATTGTTTGTCAATTTATGATGTTAATAGGAAGGGGTGTGATAATTGAGGAAGTTTGAGAATTTAGTATGATATAATGATCGAACATATTCATTTTAGAAGACCTAAGTCTATCCACTGAATTATTAAGAGTAGCTACGAAGACTAATCTAGTGTCCCTAGCTGTAAATATATCACAATTAGCCTTTCTGGATCATTAACAAATCTAGTAATAACTGATTTTTTTGAAGACACTTTAATTAATTCCGATGATCATCTATCATTCATTC